GAAAACACTCTTTATGAAGCACAAGTTTACCCTCCCAATTTTTCCAAAACAGACAAGAAATACTCTAATCTGTTGATAAAGACCCAAGAATGTCGAGCTGGAGATTATATTGAAATAATTTTTTTTACTTCTCATGTGTTTGGGTGACATCAGCCCCGACACTGCTCTGTTTCTAGGCAGCAGAACAAAATTGCCTGCTGAAGAGGTTAATAATAGGTTTATTTCTGCTAAACATTCTAGAGTGTATTTCTGCACTTGAGGTAGTAACACACAAGTTCACTGTCCATCTGGATTTCAGAATAATTTCTAAACTTAGTCGGCTTTCTCTCCTCTGCCTCCACTGTGCTTTCCATGTGGATATAAGCTGTTGTTGTCTCAACTTCATGATGCAGATTGCTTGTGTCAGTTACGATCTTTTAGGGCCATCTATCTACCAACATATTTCCAATCCATTTGGTTTGTTTAATGTTCATAAATATTCACTTTTCCTCAGGTTATGTGCTCTTTGGAAGTGCTGAACTCAGTCAATCACTACACACTCCATAAACGTCTGTTAATGGCCTTATGGCTCTAAATTCCCTGATGGACAACTGTGTATTTCAAAAAGGGTAATCTGGTAAAACTAAAACACAGTTCAGTTATGATTTTTGAGGTCTTGAAACTTCTGAGATTTGCTAAACCTTCTTTAACTTGCTTCCAGTTATTCATAAGCTCACAGGATTGATTCTATGTAAATTCCTAAGGAAGACCAACTCAATTAGGTGCTCTTAATAGAAGAAATGCCTAAAACTTGTTGTTATGCTTAACCCAGTATCTCACCTGTACCCTTCTGAACTTCCTGCTTCCGGAGCTAGATTCAACTCTGCCCTGAAAACTGTCTGTAGATTATTACCTTACACTTCACAACAGACTTGGGAGTTCCTTTACCATCTTTTCAATGATTTTTCCTGTTCTCTTGCATTACCATATTGTACCTGCTCTGATTACCATTTCTTCTTGATGAGCCATGTCTCGTGCCTTTTAATTATTTCTTTGAAACCTGGTGGTTCCCAAACCAACTCAAAATATTTTCTTGGTTTCACCTGTCTTGACAAAGCCTTTTTTATATGAGTGGTAGATAAAAAGGATGTTATTTCAATCAGTGTGTTCTGCCAAATTTAAACAAAGCTTACTTGTCTGACTTGCATCCTCTCATATCCTTTGGTTTTTTTGCTAGTTTTCATAATGATTTTGCAAAGGGTTCTGAGGTGCCTGTATGGAGGACACTTTATAAATGACAATTTATTTGACAAGTGATTTCTTTGTAAACTAAGTTTTTAATCACCTTCTAAAAGAAATGAAGAGCAGAGTTTTGGAATAAGAATTTTAATGACTGCTTCTTCTTGGGCCCCTCACTTTCCAAAGGGCATTGGGGTGCTGGAGCATGTCCAAAGGAGAGCAGTGAAACTGGTGAAGGGTCTGGAAAGCACATCCTATGAGGAATGGCTGAGAGAACAGAAGTTGTTTCATCTGGAGAAGAGCACACTCAGGGGGACCTCATTGATTTCCACAATTACCTGAGACAAGGTCTGAGTGAGGTGGGTGTCAGCCTCCTCTGCCATGTCTCAAGTGAAAGGAAAAAAGGAAATGGTCTTAAATTGTGCCAGGATTAGATATTAGAAAGAAAAATAAAAAATCTCTCTGAGAGAGTAGTCAGGCATTGGAATAAATTGATCAGTGAGGTAGTGGAGTCTGGAATTGTTGAAGGAGCATGTTGATGTGGAACTTGGGGATATTATTTAAGGGTGATTATGGTGCTGCTGGGTTGATGCTTGGAATGGATTACCTTGAAGGTCTCTTCCAACCTTGATGGCTCTGTCATACTGTGATTCTACCGCCTCAGTGATCTTATCAAGTAACTTCCTTTAGCTCTGTTCATCCTATTATGTGATTATGTGTAACTGCAGGTTCAGCAGGGACAGTGACGATCCTGTTACAGAGATATTCCCAAGAAGTGTGGTGAAGGGTGCCTTCTTTGCATTTTTTAAATATTCAAGAAGCAGACCTCCTCAGAGCCCTATTTAAAATCAAAATACATCACTCATGGCTTTCCAAGATCACTTGCTGTGCTACTACTGTTCATCATTTAAGTGCTGTGCAAGGTACAAATAGACTTATAAATATTGTGAAAGTATTTTCTTTTTTCACATTATTCTTCAGCTTCCTACTGTGTGAGCATTGATCATTTTCAGGTCAGTCAGAAAGAAAGAAACTTTGTACATCCTTGAAAACAGTCTGTCCCGGCTTGTAGCCTTGATAGGTTTAAGAAAATCCTCCAAGACTTCTGGAATTGGCCCCAGTAAGCTCTAGAAAAAAGGAGCAGCAAGTTTTATAAGTCTTTTTTATTCTTTTTTTAACAAGAGCCCCAGATCAGTATGCCTTGCAAGTCATAGTGCTTTACTCTTTGGAATGGTTTCAATCAGACTACCATGTGTCAGAAAAGCCAATTCTGCCCCTGCATAAGCTGCTTTACCTGTAACATGTTTTCCATTATTCCCTTTCTCCAAATCAAATTATGTACTCATGAAATATAATTGAAAGCCAAATTCTAGTGCAGTTGCTCTAAGATCTGCTGAAGTGAGTGGAACAAGTCCTGAGCATTAGACGAGATGGGTGACTGAACTGGGCTTGTGAGGAAATTGCAAATTAATTTGCAAGCAAAGGAGACCACCTTGTCACTGCTTTCACTGCTGAAATGCACTTTTTAAATGTTTTGGAGGGATTTTTCTCTTTTTCACTCTCTAATCTTACTTTCTTAGTATGTTTGAAAATACAGCCCAGGTGAAAGTTAAAAGTCAGTCAAAAAGATTTGAAAAGTGGATTACTCCAACCTCCCACAGCCAGTTTCAGTTGTCCTGCTGAACAATTCAGTTCTGAACTAGTCTCAGTTTCATGTCAGCTCATCATACACCTCTTAGTAGTTTGCATCAGAAAGGAGTTATCTGATAGATAAATTACTGCCTTCCCTGATTTATCTTGGAGCAAAGGCAGAGAGTGTCTGGGGGAAGCTGGCTGGTCCAGGGCAACATGCCTTCAGTAAAACCGGGTATGGTAGATAACAGGAAAAAAACAGTGAGCACAAAGGGAGAATAGTGATACATACAGAGCAGCTGAAGAGTCTTGAATTCCTCCCTTTTAAAAAGTAAAAGTAAGGGGTTATGGTTTAAGTCAGTAAAATCAAGAATAGTGATGAGAAAATTAATTGGAAATGATTACTTGCTGTTTATAAACATGATGCAGCACTCAAAGAAATAATGAAACTGTGAATTAAAGGAAACAAAAGAAAACATTTTTATCACAAAGGACCTAATTAAATTGTAAAAATCTTTATTACTGAGTGACATAGGAGCTAAAAGTACTATTAACTTGAGAAAGGCATCAGGAAAAGTTGTGCAGGTGCACTGAGTATACCACTTCCAGCTTAGAGGATCCTGGAAGACAGGGAGATGCAAGGATCATGCTAATCATGACCTATTTCTCACAAGCCTTGTCTAGACATCTGCTTCTGGAAAAGGTTAAACAAAACTTCATCTGGAGCCAGGGTATGCATTATTATTATTTAATCATGACATATAAATTGCAAATTAATTCCCTGTACGATAGTGGAACAATACTCCAGATTCAGAAATACCAGAATATATAAAGCTGAATTTTCTGCCAGATACTTTTGGTCTGATATCAGATCTCACTTGCAAACCCCCATGACTGTGGGGATTGAGACCTGCAGATCTGAGTCAAAGCATCACAATGAGATTAAGGAGTCTTCTATTAGGACAAAGAACACTTGGATTTTAGGAAAACTGATTCTTAGATGATAGTAAAAAAATACAATGTCTATTCCAAAATGTTCTGCAACCACAGATTGCTGGAGTGTTCAAGACTATTTTGACAAGACATCACTGAATGTTTGTTGTACTTTTGTACATATTTCTTACTGTTTTATCCTTCTGCTCCTGCCTCAACACTCTCTGTTTTCCACTACCAGAGAGAGTATCCTGAATCATGAACACTTGATCTGCCTTGTTGAGGCTGTTCTGGTGTTGTTATCATCCTGTAGGTATCAGAGCCTTTGAAACCCCAACCATTTACAAGGATGAGATAGTGGATGAAGGTACTGAGGCTGCAGAACTTAGTCCTGTCTCTAGTGCCAGTCAAATATTGCCAGTTTCTTACTCACTTTCCCAACCAATCCTCGCTTCAATGGTGTTGATGTGCCCTTCCTTACAAACATGAAGAGCACAAAGACAGGTCAATGACAGACAAATAATCCACTGAAATTTACACTCCCATTTGGCTCTCTTGCGTTCTTACGGAAAACAAAGAAGCTGTGACGCAGCTTCTACAAGGAAAACCAGTTCAGCTCTTACACAGACTTCAGCAAAGCAAAAGTCTGTGTACACAGGCACTGGCTGTGCAAGAACTTGGTTATCCTTTCAGCTTCCCCTGTTGAGTGGTTCAGAATTCAGATTATGAAAATTTGTTCTTTGCCATCAGCTGAAAAGAATTTATTTAATTTGGTCAATAATAATACAATAACTATTATCACTGATATTCTTAGCTAACTGATATTCTTTGTTTTCCTTAAAATGCCTTGCTTCCCAAACTAAAGCCATGGAACAAATCATAAAGTTGCTCTTGTAGAAGAAGCAGTGTAAAAAAAAATTTGTTAATTACATTTGTAATCGTTCCTGGCTAGAGCTCTGTGAGGCAATTTTTGGAAATATAATTTGTGGTTCAACCAGAGTTTAATGCCCCCAAATACCGCAGATCTCATCCTCAAGGCACAGACAATTTACAAAGTTGATGTTTCTACTTAAGATCTGAGATATTATTTTATGCAAACTTTCCTAACTGCTATTTTTGCAGCCTACAAAGCCGTCTTCGTCTCTCTTTCATTTTTTTTAAAAGATATTTCTGGTTCTGCTGTCTAATCAAATCCTATTTGTTGTTCATTGCAGATTGCAGCTCAGGCAGTGTTATTTATGTGTATGAACACTGCAGGAATCTTCATTAGCTACCTATCAGACAGAGCACAGCGTCAAGCCTTCCTGGAGACCAGAAGATGTGTGGAAGCCAGGCTGAGACTAGAGACAGAAAACCAGCGACAGGTATGGTCACCAGGAAAAACATTCCTATATTTCCCCTGGGAAACAGGATGGATAGAGTGGCTGTTCATCATCATTTCCCATGGACGAGGCCATCAAATGAAACAGCAACTGACAGAGATTTAAAAATGCCTCTTTATGCAAGAGGGGTTAAGCAGGGGAACTTCATGTTTCAGAGTGTTGTAGATGTTAAAACTTGCATTAGTCAAGTGAAGGATATTCCAGAACCATCTGACTGCAGTCCTGGGCCACGTGCTCTGGGATGTCTCTGCCTGAGCAGGGAGGCTGGAACAGATGATCCACTGTGGATCCTTCCAACCTGACTGCTCCTGTGAGCCTGTCAAAACTGAGCAAGCTCATCTAGAACTCTATCTAGGCAGAGAAAATATTAAAGCATCCCTTCAAGCTCATAGACAGATTATTGTGGCTGGTGACACCACAGAAGCAAAGTATCACTATTCTGTTTCTCTGTTCTTAAACTCTTCTTGAAAAATCAACTTTTGGCCACTGTGTGCAGTAGTATACTGAGTTAGGTGCACTTTTGATCTGAACAGCTATGGTTGACCTTAGGTAATCATCTTTTTTTATCCCAAAAAAGTATTGAATAAAAAGAAGTTTGCACCAAGGGAGCAGCATCCATACTATATATGTTACTTTGCTGTATCATTCTAAGATTAATTTAGCCTTTCATTTTGCCCTGCTATATAAATATGTATGTGACTTCTCAAATTTATTTCATTTTGCCCCTGAAAGTCATGCTCTTATACAGAGTTCTAGAATCTAGGACTCCAGGATCATATTTTCATGCCTTTTGGGGATTTTGGGGTGTTTGGAATTTTTTTCCTTTTTCTTCTAGCTTAATTTTTCATAAACCATGATTTTATAAGCTTTACTTTGACCATAGTTTTCTAGAGCTCATTGTAAAAAACTTTCTAGCACTAACAAAAGATTCCCTTGTTCCCTTGTTCCATATTATTCTGATGTTTTCCTATTAGAATTATTTTATCCTCTCATGTAAAATGAAGTTAGTACAAAGACAAATATTTAGAGAAATACAATTTTGCTGAACTTGTATTGTCTATTAGGAAAATGAAAACAGATTGTTTCCATTTGGGTGGGCAGATTTTATTTTTTTTTATCTTTTTTTGGAGAGGGGAGAAGTAGTAGTTGGATCTGAAATATTTGTTTTTATTAAGTCAAGTTGAACTGTGAATTTTGTCTTGGCCCTGTGCTTTACAAGGTTTCAGGGCTGTGTTGTTCCCTGAGGGCAGAACTTCCTGGAGTGTTACCTCACTGCAGCTGAGATTCACCTATAACCAAACAAAGTAGTGTGTCACAGGCATCATATGACTGGAAATGCATAAAGGGAAATGTCCTTGGGCCAAGGAAAATACCCACAGGAGAAAAATACAGACAAGAGGACACCAAATGAAAGATCTCTTCTAAAACTTCATTTAATAACAAATTAGCTCAAAATTTTAAAACAAAACATTTTGAAATGTTTCTGATTAATTTTCTTCGAACTTTGTAGTTTTATCATTATGCACACTACTATATATAAAAATGTTTTAAAAACTTTTCAGCTTTTCATTTGTATTTGGCACAGCAACATCAAAAAAATATTCCAATACTGGAACATCTTGAGGAATGGAGAGCCTGCTTCCCTAAGCATTCTATTTTTTCCATTTGTTTCTGAGGTAGCATCTCATTTAAGCAACTTTTAAACCTCTCTGCTTTAATATGACTGACAAGGTCACATTTTAGGTGACCACTTTTTTTAGCAGCTTGTTCATGCTCACTTAATGAGTACACAGGCAGTAATTCAGTAACTGCCAGCATTTTTCTACCTTGAGGACAAATATACATGGAATCTGTGGTTCAGATGAATCTGTGGTTCAGATGAATGTAAAAAAACTTATTTGCTGTTAATGCATATCACATTTTAAAAGTAAGGATTCAAGTTTACTAAATTAATTCCATTACTTTAATTTCCTATGAAGGGGGTGGGAAAAAGGTGGAAAAAGCGTGCAGGATGATAGTTTTTGATGTGACTTCTGAAAATTTCTAGAAATATTGTTGAGGAACAAAACTTTTCTCTTCAACAATAGAAAACAGAGGAATAATTACTTGTGTAATTTTTCCAGACAATAATTCCAGGAATTCCAAATTTATTCCACTTCAATTTATTTCCACTTCACTTCCCACAAACTGTTTAAACTAAAGGGTACTTGTAGCAAAGGCAGGTTTTTTGTTGCTTTCAGTGGTGGTACTGTCACTTTTTAGAGTAGTGGATGACTTAATTTAAATCTCTCGAGGCTTCTTTCATCCCCACACATCTTCTGCTTCTTAAACTGAAAGTAACAGAAAATTTAAATGTATTGACATGTCATATGTATGGCACGTCATATGAAGTGTGACAGCTTGCCAGAAAGATCCTCTAAAGTCTGTTTTTTTTCTTTACTTTGTTTAAATCAGAAGACCAGTAAAAGTAAGAACAAAACAACATGAGTTTTTAAACTACAACAAGGGGTGGTATGCTTGTCCATAAATAATTACAGGCTCCAATTTTATATAACCATGGAAATTATATAAATGCTTCAAATATACTTCTATTCATTACTGTGTATTGTTAAAACCAAGAAATTAAGTTTCAGCTCTCCCAAAATGACCCTTCCAATTTCTCAATATCCCTTGGATTCATAATCTCTAATCTTCTGTCATTCTAATAACAATGAATGCTACTGCTGTCATTTTGCAGTACTGTGCAATGCATAAAGGAGCCAGTCATGGAAAGTCATCCAATTGTGAGCCAAACATTTTATAATCTGTGTTTTAGAGAAAAGCAAGAGGTAGCATTAGAAACGTGGAGCAGTACAAGGAAACAGTAATAATACTGACAAGGAATGATCTCACATTGTTAGAGGCTGTTAAGGACCCTCTAATGAGTATTTGTGGATTTTCTGGAATACAAACATAAACTTTCTACTGTGTCAGCTTCTGCTGCTGGCGAAAGACAGGATATTTTTCTGCATTTCCAGATATATTTTATATATCTGAGCTGATTTTTTTCTTCAGTGAAAGCAGTTTCATTCATTCACTTGCAACAATTGCATAAAGAGCAATCAAAATAGGAGGTGAAATCACCAAGACCCCACTAGGGATGAAAAAGCTTTTTTGTTGTTCTTCATGTTACTCTGACCTGAAATTTGAATGTCATGTGTTTTCCAGATGTTGTTATTTTCCCACAGTGTCTCCCTTTGGGGGTTTTCAGGGTTCCAGAATTCCTTGCACAATTTTTTTTTTTTTTTCCTCTGTGAAGTTTTCCAGTTTGACAGTCAAAGGCGTTTTGTTATTCAGAAATGTCTGGGCCTGTAGTCTCTGTAAATCTGAATTAGCTCCATAGGCTCATTTTCCACTGAAAATATCTTCAGGTGCAAATTCAGCTTTTACACCAATTGCAATTCATTCAGTAACTGCACAGGAAGGAAGAAGAGACTGCAATGTGGACCTGGATGATGCAGAAGACTTTAGGGAGCCTGGCTCATCCAGGGCAACCTGACTCCAGTTTGGAAGTGACTCAGTTTCCAGTGTCTCTTTCCAAAAGTCTATATACAATAAAGCTCCTATATCTTTTTTCTTTCTGCCTCCCCCATCCCCATTTACTCTCAGCAAGACTTGCTGACAAAATTTTCAGGGGAGTTTCAGAAAGTCAGGACTTTCAGTTGTATTTTCAGATCATCAAGAATCTAATTTTCTATTGTTATCCTTTTGTTTTTAAGCACCTGGGGTAGTTTAAAGTACATATTAGCATTTTAAATTGCAATGAATTTCCTAATTCTAATTACTCGATTATGGAAATGAGCAACAGTGTGGCTACAAAGGAGAATTACTCCAGCAGTCATTGCTAATGATGTTTATGCATTTACCTGTGTGGTATTATCTGTGTGATAGCATTTGGAAGTCCCAGCACACTGTGAAACTGAGGGAACATCTGTGTCTATTTATTTCTTAATTTTCATTTAAAAATTAGAATGTTTGTGAAAATCTAAAACATTTCAGAGCTTGACATAGTTAAAGGAGCTGATGAGTATCAGAAAGACTTTATCAAAAGATGAAAATATCAGACAAGCAAGCTGCAGGAAGCAGCACAGACAAATGTGTTGTAAAAATAGCCTCTGATTAGCAGTTATTGATAACATAATGAATTTAAATATTTCCTAATGAATTGTAGTTAGAGGCCAGTTCTTAAAAGATGTATTTATATCAAGCAAATAAATATGGCTGCCAAAAAATGTCCTCCGATTTTGTATTTAAAACATTGCAATTATGAATAAAAAACAAATGTGAGGTTCTCAGCTTTCATAAATCCATTTTATTCCAACAACAACATAACTTTCTGTTAGAAATTTTTGTTTAATACTTTCATTTGATATCTACGTGTATCAAAAATGTTGACAACCTGTGCTATACTTTGTTAATGAACACTTCAAAGACACTATCTTTGTTTTTAGCTTGATTTTGTTGTAAGGACACAGCAGGTAATTGTGCTTTCATCATATCTGGGCAATGAAAATAGATAGTCTAACTTACTTTCTTAATTAGCTACTGAAAACCCTTCAAAACCAATGAGTTTGTAATTTCCCTCATTGTGAAAATGCTGTGAAATCTCCTTAATGAATTGCAGAAACTTGCACTAAATTTCTATTTCATTTCTATTTCTCAGGATGTCAAATCCCTAAGTTTTAAATGAATGACATATTAAATCCAGACTCATATTGAAATTATGTCTTTATGAAGAATTGCATTCAATACATATCAGATGCCCTAACCTGCTCTTTCTCCAATCTTTGCTTGAAATTTGTTTAACATTTTAAATCCTGAAAGACTACAATTTAATTATAAAGAATCTCTCAGATAGCTTTGCCATGCTGCCTTTTCCTGCACCACACATAAATATGTCAAGTTATACATATCTGAAAACAATTATTGTGTAGTGAAGTCAA